TATTAAAAGCAGCTTAACAGGGCCCCTGGGTGGCTCAGTTGGTTCAGCGTCCGACTTCGGCTCAGGTCATGGTCTCGTGGTCTGTGAGTCCGAGCCCCGCATCGGGCTCTGTGCTGACAGCTCAGAGCCTGGAGCCTGCTTCGGATTCTGTGTCTCCCTCTCTCTGCCCCTCCCCCACTCATGCTCTGTCTCTCTTTCTCTGTCAAAAATAAGTGAACCTTAAAAAAAATAATAAATAAAAGTAGCTTAGCTATCCCTATAGTTTATATAAACTAAACACAAAGTCCGTCCTCTGACTAGAAAGCTGCAGGTCTGAAAGACCTTTTGGAGCCCACTGGGTTGGCTCTGACATCAGAGGTTCAAATTCCAGTTCTGTCGATCTCTAACTGCATGACTTTAGCAAACTATTTAGCCTTTCTGCGCCCCAGTGTCCTCATCTATAAAATGAGGATACTAATAGAAACTATCTCTGAGGGCTACTATAAAGATTAAGTTAATATTTACAATGCAATTAATTACCACAGGGCCTGGATCATAACACAATGTGAGCTATTTGCTATTGTTGTTTCCACTGTTACCTTATTTCTGCTGTAGAAACCAAGATTGTGGTCAATATTTGAAGATAATTAGTATGTAAACAGAGTTATAAATATGGAAAGGCAATGTTACTAAAAAGTATGATCTGTTGTTACCTGTAAACTTCCAATGACTAGCCAAAGAGCAGTAGACACTGCGTATCTTAAAATGCGGCTATAGGGAGCTATATAGCTAGTTGGGCTTCTGGAAAGACTAGAGGATGAGTCCATTAATGCTAAGTTCTTGAATCCTACAACCTGAAGTAAAAAAAAGAAAAATTTAAATAGACATGGATAAAGAAAACGGCTCTGCTATGAAAATGAGACACTCTTCCCTACCCTTACTTTAAAAAACTAAAATATTTATAAAAGTTTGTACAAACATTAGAAAATCTATATTAAAAATAATTATCCAGGAGTTTTCATTACAAAACAAAATATTTAGTTAGTTCATTTGGAAATCTCTTCAATATGACTAAGGGCCAGATATAACCTTATTATCACACACTGACAAAATTAAAAAATTTCTGTCAAGAAGAATGAAACTTTACTCAGTAAACAGCAATGAACAACTAGCATTTCACACATTTTTAACATATGCCAGGCACTATGCAAAATACTTCTTATACTTTTCAACAGTGGTTTTTGCAAATGTTTTTCGCAAAATGTCTTTTGAAGGAGGTACCTTCTGTGATAAAAGGAAGCCATAGCTGAGTAAGTATAGTCTGTACATTATACTCCTGTCCATGCCTTCCACTCTCATTGAATAAAGGTTCTGGTAAGTTTTTTTTTTTTTTAATTTTTTTTAAACGTTTATTTATTATCGAGACAGAGAGACACAGAGTGTGAGCAGAGGAGGGGTAGAGAGAGGGGGAGACACAGAATCCGAAGAAGGCTCCAGGCTCCAAGTTGTCAGCACAGAGCCCGACGTGGGGCTCGAACTCACAAACTGTGAGATCATGACCTGAGCTGAAGTCAGTCGCCCAACCAACTGAGCCACCCAGGTGCTCCAGTTCTGGTAAGTTTTACAGTAAAGAAATCTCCATGACTTTATTGAATCCAATGCTTTCCAAATGTGCTCATCTAAAAAAATTCTTTTTCATATAACACCTTTTAAAGCTCTATAGAACACTGTTAACAAACAAAACTATACATGAATTTTTGAAAAATCATTCATATGCCTTAGAAATACATATATTTTCCCAGCTTAAAAAAGGAAAGAAAGGGAAAGGAAGAAAAGAAGGAAAAAGGAAGGCAGACAGACATGAGTTAGTAATTCATATCTAACTTTATTTAAGCAGCTAATTCCTGAGAAAATCTATTACCCACATAAATGGTTTTCATAGTTCAGTCTCCTATTCAGTACTGAATACTTCCTTTAATAATTCCAACCAGATCCATGAAATAGCTGCAAAGGCATCATAAGCATCACCCATTCTCTGTGCATAGTGCAGCTCTCAGCACTGAACGTAGCCCACAGCAAGCATTCAATGATAATTGGTTGAAAAACTTCACCTGTGATAGTGGTTCTGATGCAGAATTGTAATTCTAGTAAGAATGTGACTGAGAAAGAAAAGTTTTTTGTTTTGTTTTGTTTTTTTTTCAAAACACAGATAACTAGACCTCAGAGCTACTGAGTCAAACATAATCTCTAGGGGTGAGACCAGGAACAGATATTTTGCAAAAGCTTCCCAGGGGATTTTGATACAAACCAGTAGTTTAAAAACGGCTCCTGGGGCACCTGGGTGGCTCAGTCAGTTAAGCGTCTGACTTCGGCTCAGGTCATGATCTCGCAGTTCGTGAGTTTGAGTCCCATGTCAGGCTCTGTGCTGACAGCTCAGATTCCAGAGCTTGCTTCGAATTCTGTGTCCCTCTCCCTCTCTCTCTGCCCCTCCCCTGCTCATGCTCTTTCTCTCTCAAAAATAAACAAAACAAAACAAACTGCTCCTTACCTAGAGTAATCAAACTGAAAGAGACAGAGTAGAATGGCAATCGTCAGGGGCTGGGGAAGGGGTATGGGAAGTTGTTGTTTAATGAGTACAGAATTTCAGTTGTGCAAGATGAAAAGAGTCTTAGGGGCTGGTGGCACAACAAGATGAATGTACCTAATGAGACTGAACTACACACTGAAAAATGGTTAAGATGGTAAATTTCATGTTATGTGTATTTTTTTTTTTTAATTTTTATTTTAGAGAGACAGAGAGATAGTGAGCAGAGGAGAGGGGCAGAGGGAGGAGGAACCTTAAGCAGGCTCCATGCGCCGCACAGAACCCGAAGCAGGGCTCGATCCCACAACCCTGGGATCATGACCTGAGCTAAAATCAAGAGTCAGACACTCAACAGACTGAGCCACCCAGGCGATTTTTTGGTTTGTTTTACATGTTATGTGTATTTTAACAAAGTTTTTAAAAGCCACTCTTTGTAATGGCTTGATAACTTTAGAAAACTTTAGAAGACTTCCACTGATGTGAAAATGTAGCTGGAAAAAAAATGTAGCTGGAATTACATGAAATTAATATATATGAGGCACACAGAAGTCACACACAATTACAAAAGTTCATACCTCCAAAAAAAAGAGGACAGTAAGTATTTGGAAGAGTGGATTAATTTTTCTCACAGTTTGAATTTCATTCCATTCATTTGCTACAAAATATGTTCTCCATATGCTCACAGGAACCATGGCACTGCGAACACCGCCCTCACCTGGTCAGAGAGAGAAAATAAGCAAGAGGGTTTCATCTTTGTTCTGAAAAAGCAGCAAAAGCATTTTGGTACAATGGTTATTTCAGTTACCTTCAACAGCTTTCAGAACCTTTCCTTTAGGTCGCTCCCAGTCAATAAAGAATATATCTATGGTAATCTGGGACATAAGCTTATGCAAAAATTGCAGAGCCTGAAAATGACAAACAAAACATTTGAAATGTATCCATGCTTATGGAGGGGCACCTGGTGGCTCAGTTGGTTAAGCGGCTGACTTCAGCTCAGATCACAATTTCATGGTTTGTGAGTTTGAGCCCCATGTTGCAATCTATGGTAACAGCTCAGAGCCTGGAGTCGGCTTCAGATTCTGTGTCTCCCTTTCTCTCTGTTCCCTGCCCCCCACACTGTCTCTCTTTCTCTCTCTCAAAAATAATATGTAACATTTAAAAAAACCTGCCTATGAAAATAATGATGATTTTTTTTTAAGAAACAAATATACTTAATCACAAGAATATACAATACACAATGACAAAGTTATAATATCATTATGGGATCACTAGAAGCTCATCAAGTAACATGGAATCAACAAATTCACAAAATTTTTATACACATTAATTTGCCCTCCTTTCTTCTTTCTTTAAAATAGGGATGTGAAAAAAGTAGACATACTACCTTCTCATACAGAAGCCATGCATAATTGACTCTCTTTCCCTAGGTTTCCAAAAGCACACTTTATTTTCTAGATCATCTGATTTCTTTATGAGTAAAGGTATTTTTCAACTGTAATTTGCTGTCTTAATTAAAGTTTTAAGATGCCTTTACTGTCTATTTCTGGTATTGAGATTGCTAATTTTTAAAAATGTGTTGTTGAAACACATCTTTTTCATTTTAACATAAGTAATATGTTTAATTTGGGGCGTTCTTCCTAGTAGAAGCATTATTTATCAAAGAATACAAGTGTTAAGTATGACATGATTCCTTCCTTCAAGAAGCTCACAGATCAGTGGGAAAAGCAGACACTAATAATCATAGTACAACGGGATGAGATCTACCAGAACCATGTTAGACAGCTTCCCGTACATTGATAGAACAATGAAATAGGGAGAGGAGACGCCATGAGAAGAGGAGGAAAGAAATATGGAGACAGAGAAAAGAAATTCTAGATTTCAGCACTTTATCCAAAGTGGTACCTTTTATTGTCCACTAAAGAGATAAAATTCATGCCTAAAGGTATTGTGAATGCACCATCAGACTTCAAAAAGAAAAGTCATATAATTAAATATCACTTTATCAAATTAACTTGTATTAATTCAAAAATATGTATGGCTTCTTATGAAAATTATTTAAGTCAGTTTTTCAGAATGAACTACCTATTATAAATAAAAGTAGACTTTCTTGGTAAAATAAAATAATTCGTGCTTTTTTTTCTTTTAATGTTTATTTATCTTTAAGAGACAGAAAGAGAGAGCACACAATACACGAGGGAGAGATAGAGGGAGAGGAGAGAGAGAATCCCAAGCAGACTCCACACTGCCAGCTTGGAGCCTGACACAGTGCTTGATCCCACAAACCACGAGAGCTGATCTGAAGCTAAGAGTTGAACGTTTAAGCAACTGAACCACCCAGGAGCTCCTTAAGTATTTTAAATAAGACTGATTAGAGGGGCAGCTGGGTGGCTTAGTTGGTTAAATGTCTGACTCTTGGTTTCGCCTCAGGTCATGATCTCACAGTTCATGGGATCAAGCCCTGCATCAGGCTCCAAGCGCTGATGGAAAGAAGCATGCTTGGGATTCTCTCTCTCCCTCTCTCTCTTTGCCACTCCCTGACTCTTTCTCTCAAATTAAAAAAAAAAAAAAAAAAAAAAAAAAGAATAAATAAATAATAAATTAAAAATAAAATCAAACTAAATTTGGGGCACCTGGCTGGCTCAGTGGGAAGAGCAGGCAACTCTTGATCTCAGGGTTGTGAGGTCGAGCTCCATGTTGGGTGTAGAGATTACTTAAATAAATAAAACTTTAAAAAATAAAAATAAACAAAAAAAGTAAAATCACACTAAATTTTACACCAAAGATTTTGAAAGCATTTTAAAGACTTATGAGTTTATTAGCAGGTTTTTTAAATTCAGGAACCTGTCCTTTAAAACTTACCTTCAGAGCAAAAGCACATCCCACATAAGTAACAAGACGTTCTTCCTGAGCTGGCACTGGTAGCAAAACAGAGATAGATTTCTGTGCCTACGATATAAATTACACTGTTAAATATGACCATACAGGGTTTTTAAGAAGCACAATTTATAAACCAAAGAAAGCATAAAAGAGGTAGGTGGTGAGACTCAGTAAATACCATATTCAAGGAATCGGGAGTTCATCACTTGCCTCACTCAATTCTCTTGATCAGAAATATCCCCAAATAAAGATAGTTCCTCTATAAAGACAGCCTCACTTATTCAGGTATGAACATTTAGGTTAAATTGAGAAACTCACGTACTTTGAAGAAAATAAGCCAATATAGACCTGTTCCCACAGTGATGATGAAAAAAACATTGGCCAGATCACCAGCATAGTACACCAAGAATTTCATAACTGTCTGCAATTTAAAAAGAGAATTATAGCGGTTATAGACTCAATCTATTTATACTATCACTTTTAGTAACCTATTTTCTACCCAGTTTCTCAAGTTTAAAGCCTGTGTCATATATCTATAGATTATTCAGTTATAAAGCCCAACTGTGGACACCTCCTGGTTCCTTTGAATCTGTACCTTTCAGTCCATTACCAACATTGTCTTACTCAACCCGGCTTATCTTTTCACTATCTAAGAAAGTTACATTGCTTCCTAATTCTCTCCTAGTTTGGAGCCCTTTACCCCAATCAGTCCTTCATACTACCACCAGAGTTAGCTTTCTAAAATCTAAATTGGAAAAATTAAATGTAAATTGGATTGTGTCACTCCTTTTCCTAAAAATGTACAATGACTCTTCACTAGGGTATAAATTCCAGACCCATAAGGTCCTTCACAACCTAGACCAAAATGGACTTTTTAAACTTCATATGCCAGTTCCAACCACTCCATGATTAACTTGCATTTGAATTATTTTGTGGAATGAAATGGGCATTGCTTATTGTTCCATCAAATATTCTTTCTTCTCTGTGGCAAACTCTCATGAGGTCTGAAAGTAGAGACCCAATCTGTCTTTGCTCACTATCACATCCCAGCACCTGGTAGTGTTCTTGGCAATCAGAAAGCAGGTCCTCAGTGACTATCTGTGGAATGCTCAGATAACCCAACCCACCCTAAAGTTCATTTCTCTGGAAAGCCTTTCGTAACTATTCCAAACAGTAAACCAAGCGCCTCTCCTCTGATTCCTTGGCACACTGGCTTTGGTGTGGGGAAGATGTATCAGTACAAACAAGTTACTATGTTGCCTTTCTCAGGTAACTCATCAGCAAAATGGAAATAAATACCACCTATTACTGAGTTGTAAAAAATTAAATGAGTAGAAAGTTTATTTCACTTCTGCCACAATTTCATTCTGTGTAAAATGGGAATGATAATAATAGTATCTAATCTCATAGAGCTATTGTGAGGATTAAATAAATTATATAAATAAAGCTTTAAAAAAGTGCCTAGTTGGGGCGCCTGGGTGGCGCAGTCGGTTAAGTGTCCGACTTCAGCCAGGTCACGATCTCGCGGTCCGTGAGTTCGAGCCCCGCATCGGGCTCTGGGCTGATGGCTCGGAGCCTGGAGCCTGTTTCAGATTCTGTGTCTTCCTCTCTCTCTCTGCCCCTCCCCCGTTCATGCTCTGTCTCTCTCTGTCCCAAAAATAAATAAACGTTGAAAAAAAAAATTAAAAAAAAAAAAAAAAGTGCCTAGCATACATTCAATAAATGTTAGATAAAAATAAAAACAAAGGTAAATTAAAAACGACTATATGAGATGTAAAACTATAAAGTTAATAGAATAAAACCTGGGAGGATATCTTTGTGATCTTGAGACTGGGAAGGTTTTCCTAAAAAAATATTCCAGAGGCACATGAAAAACTAATCAATGTGACAATATCAAAATTAAGAGTCTCTGTTAAACAAAGTAACACATAGATAAAGATAACAGATGGGTCATATTTGGAGGACATATTTCAACATCAAAAACCAAAAGGGGATTCATATTTAGAAAATACAAAAAACTACTTTAAATCAACGAGAAAAACTGGAAACCAAATAGAAAAATTGGCAAGGGATATAAACAGGCAGTTTACAAAAAGGGAAACCAAAATGATTAATAAAGGCTATGAAAAGCAGAGAAATGAAAATGAAATCAACAGTGACGTACTACTTGCACTGCCAGATTGGCAATAAATGGAAACGCTGGAAAATACCAAGCGTTGGTGAGGATGTGTGGAAATAAGAACAGCACTGCGGGTGGGAGTGTGGACCGGCACACAGCGATGTGGGAGGAAAATGCGGTGTGCACACACCTCTTCTGGTTATATACCCCAGGGAAAGAAGGGAGTGTTTTACTCATTCTCCAGCTGTATCTTAAAAGAAAGACACAAAATAGTCAAAAACTCCTGAGATCATACCTGTAAATCAATCATGGGACTCCCAATGCGCCTCTTCCATCCTGCTGTCTTCAAAAGAGATGATAAAACAGCCAGCCCACCCAAAACGCCTAAAGCAATCTAAAAAAACACAACATTTTGGAATATATGTAATTTCCCTCATCAATGTTCAAATATGCAAATAGAGTAAAGAAATGCTAAAAAAAAAAAATGGTGGATAGAGGCCAAGTTGAAGGAACTCTTAATGGCCAAATCTAGGACAATTTGACCAAGAAGATAGATAGTAATGAATTATAATCATTAGAATAAAATAAATATACAGTAATCTATACTGATTTAAAGAAATCACTGAATAGGGGCACCTGGGTGGCTCAGTCAGTTAAGCGTCCGACTTTGGCTCAGGTCATGATCTCATGGTTTCTGAGTTTGAGTCCCGCGTCAGGCTCTGTGCTGACAGCTCAGAGCCTGGAGCCAGCTTCAGATTCTGTGTCTCCCTCTCTCTCTCTCTCTCTGCCCCTCCCCTGTTCATGCTCTATCTCTGTCTCCAAAATAAATAAAACATTAAAAAAAAAATTTTTTTAAAGAAATCATTGAATAAATAAATCCATGTGGGCAAAGGGACAACTTCTTCTAGAATTCCATTTAACAAACATAGAAGAAATGAAAAATAGAAAAAAAAATTAAAAAAAGAGAAAAATCACCATCAGGCAGATGTCACGGTAATACTTTTTATAGATAAGAATCATCACTAGATACTAAAATCAGAGACCAAAAGGATAATAAGAAGCAGGATATTTGCATCCTCTCAAACTCTCTCTCCACAGGATACTTATTAATTACAAACAAGAAAATACTATTTGGAGAACTCTGCATATAGCACCTTAGACATGATCCAAGTTAACATCATTAGTAATAAGACATCCTGACATCATGTACCTTCTGATATGATGCACTGAGAAGGGCACAACATCATATCTGTAGTATCTGTATCAAAACTTGATTTAATTATGAGAAAATATCAGACAACCCCAACTGAAGGTCAAAATAAATAACCAGTACTCTTCAAAAGTGTTGGGATGGGGTCATGAAAGACAAAGAAAAATTGAGGAACTGTCACAGATTAAAGGAGACTAAGGAGACATGATCACCAAAAGCAAAAGCAATTTGGGTCCTAAACCAAAAAAAGGATAGTGAGAGGCAGGCGCCTGAGTGCCTCCGTTGGTTAAGTGTCCGACTTCAGCTCAGGTCATGATCTCACGGTTCACGAGTTCGAGCCCCGTGTAAGACTCTGTGCTGACAGCTCAGAGACTGGAGCCTGATTCAGATTCTGTGTCTCCCTCTCTTTGCCCCTCCCTCGTTCACACTCTGTCTCTCCTCTCTCTCAAAAATAAATAAACATTAAAAAAAATTTTAAAAAAAGGATAGTGAAAAAACTTATGAAATTCAAAGGATATGCAGATCAGTTAATAGGATTACATCAATGTTAATGCCCTTATTATGATCACTGTACTATGGTTATGTAACAGGTGAACATTAGGGGAGGCTGGTTGAAGGATCTATCGCAGAACTATTTTGACAACTCCCTTGTGTACTTAAACATTTTTTAATTAAGAAATATACTGTAAATATTTTAACAAGTTAAAACAAACTCACATCTGTCTGGACTTGTGCTTCTCCTTGATTCATTTCATATTTGACTGAGAAAGAAACCTGAAATTTAAAACAAAGTAAATTAGCCATACTGAAATTATGTAACACAAACCTACTTTTACTATAAAGATATATTTGTTGGAGAAATGCCTATTTTTAATCTATCAGTATTTTTAGAGTTGACCTTTTTTTATATATAAGTGGAAATACTCTGAGGAATTGTTCATGCTGCTTTAAATATACCTTTTAAACACACATTGAAGAAAGAGGGGTTCATTAGGAGCTCATTTAGGTTCATTAACAGCAGTCAAACCAAACTAATGATATTTCATTTTCTGATAGGTGTCTGTAACTGAGGAATGTGACAAATCTTGTGTAGCAAGAATTTAGCAACTAGCTAAACAATCACACCTTAGAAGGCATTAATCAAAGGGCTGAACGAGAATCTTAGGGATACCACTCTATTAAGAGACAAGAAGAGAAAGAGAAACCAGTAAAGGGTAGAGAAACAGGACTGTGAGAGGCAGAAGAGGCGAGATACCGAAGTCTTATCAAGATAACAGAATAGAGGTTCAAGAATATGTCTGGAAATACAATGTCAAATATTGTATGTCAGGTTAAAGAAATAAAGCCAGCGTACGTGGAATTCGTTGCTGACCTTTAAGCAAGAGGTTTTCAAAGACACAAAATGGCAAGAGCTAGACTGCAAATGATGAAAGAGTAAATGGCTGGAAAATCAAGGAAAGATATACGATAGCAAGCTAAAAAACTGGCAGAACTGAGGAAAGATTTTATTGTTTGGTTGTTTTACTGTATTTAAGACAGGAGGACTTGATAGTTGTTACAGGCAAAGGAAAGGGGCCAGCAGAGAAGCTGGGTGAATAAGGGAAGAGCGGTGAAACAGGATGCTGGAGAAAGTACTACACACAAGCACAGGTAGAAAATTAAGTAAGGAGGAAGGGCACTCTGTTCGTAAAAATCGGAGCAAGAGACAGGAAGGATAATGAAACAGAGATGCTGAAGTATTACAGAGGAAAACTGAGGGCATTCAACTGAGGGCATTCATCTGAGGGCAAATCTGAGGGATGCTCTTGATCTGCTCAGAAAATGTGAGGGAAAGTTATTTGCTGTTGGTGAGAGAGCCAAGACGTAGCTGAATGCTTCACTAATGTAGAATTTTTGCAACACCTCTCATGAAAAATTAAGAAATGATGAAAGAACTGTACATTCTATACTTAGAAGGAATCTGAGGTGGACTTCATCAGTATAGTTACATGATTCTCGCAATTCTTTTTGTATCTATTATTTTCCAATTTATCAAGACTTACTTTGGAATATTTTAAGCAAATAAAAAGATTGTTAAAGAAAAGACCCGGAAGTGTTTTATCTTAAAATAAATATACTCTTGGTTACCCAGGAAATTTTATTATTTTTTTTAATTTTTAAAATTTATTTATTTTGAGAGAGAGAGACAGACACAGAGAGACAGACAGAGAATCTCAAGCAGGCTCCACGCTGTCAGCACAGAGCCTGACGCAGGGCTCCACTTGGGGCTCAACACAGAGCTTATCCGACTGAGCCACCCAGGTGGTGTCCCTAACCAGGAAATTTTAAACCAGGCAGCCTTGTTGTTACTAAGTGAGTTTCTGGATTTTCCTCTCCTCTTGTTATGGTGCATATGAGCTCAGGCAATGGAAACTAATTTTAACGTCCAATTCGGTCATACAAATGAGGAGGTAAAATCTTTCAGAGAAGAGTTATGTTATGTGCCTACTTTTTCTTTAATGGCAGCCTGAATCTAGTAGCAGCTGAGTACAAATACAATACAGAAGCCAAAAGTAGCCAAAATTCAGAAAAGTAAAATAGTAGAAATTAAAAGCTATTAGTGAGGTTTGGAGGTAGGGAATGCTTAAATACCTCTCATGTTTCCAGACAGGGAAGGGAATGGCCACTTAATCTCTCTGAGGAAAAAGTATAGAAGGATTACCTCTGGTTTTGGTCTCTATATCTCTGTCATGCACCACTCCTCAAAGCAGAGATGCTTTATCTGACTACTCGTGAGGTTGGGAGGAGGAACTGAGCCTTCTCCAGGCTCATTCTCTGGCGTAGCCTGTCTTCAGAGTGTACGAGGTCTCTACTCCATTCACAGGCCCTTCCAGGCAAAGGAGGCCTTTAGTTCTGCAGTTAACTTTGAGTTGGGGAAATAGTAGGAAGCCAACCTGGCTGCAGGTCCAAACTATTCTCTACTTCCCTTCAGCACTACTAGTTATAAACTACTGATGATTTGAATCTTTCTACCTGTCAAAGTGCATTTTCATCAAGTGGGCAAACCTGATGAGAAGAGGAACACATATGTCTGCTGAAAAGTTCGAGTTTCTGCTTTTATTAGCCAGGGAAACAAAATCTTAGTGCAAGCAAGTTGGCAAAAAGGACAGAGACAGACACTGCATATTTCAGGGTACCCCCGGGATCCTGAACAGGGATGCCCAATTGTATCCCTGGTGATGGTGTCTAGATAAAAACTCAATTCTTGCTTTTTTACTTGAACGATCTGTAAAGAACTCACCTTTACCGTTAGTAGTAAAAAGTAATTAAGACTTGACTATATTTAGTGCAGTATTTTTTTTTAAACTTAAAAAAGAACTAATAACCTTTGACCATAATGTAAACTGCATCAGTATTACGTTAACACATACAGAGCCACTGAATAGCATGGCACTCACCTTCACAGACTGGCTGTTGGGATCTTTGATATCAATGTCGCTGTAGGCAATGGTAATTAAGGGAGGGTAAATGTTTCCATTTTTTGTGTTGGGCACAAGGTAGATGCTGTTTATAATAAAATACATTTTTAGTTATAAATATATCTAAGTCCTTAAACATACAGCTGACTTACTGTTGTTGTTGTTGTTTTAATGTAATATGGATAGTCTTGGTGATCTCAGAATCAACCAGTTAATAAGGACTAGGGTCAAACAAACTAATGGTAACAACATAAGCTATCTTAAGTAGTCAAAACTTTAATATTAAAATATGCCGTCTGAGACAAATTAGAAGCTGTTCGCGATCTAGGTCCTATGAAGTTTACAAGGGAAATCACTGAAGTACTATGAACCATCTTTGAGGAACAGTCAAAAGTGAAGTGTTAAACGAAGCCTAGGAAAAGACAGATAACACCATAATTTTCAAAGGAGAAAGATGAATTCTTAACAAAATAATGCATGTCATATCTAGTGCTGTTTATAGTACATAATGGAACATATTTTGCTGAATTCAATGCATGAATATAGTTTGTAAATTCAAAATGCCAAATGCTAGGGGCCAGTGTGGTTTTACCACAATCAGGTTAGGCCTGACTAGGTCCAATTTCATTTTTATCAGTGATACTACATTAGTAGATTGAGGGGATGCTAAAAAACACAGTATATTTGGACTTCAGCAAGATACATGATAAAGCTTCTATACTGCCTGTACCTCATAAGATTGCTATGAAAAGCAGAATGAAATAACAATGAAAAAATGTATATGGATATTGAAGTGCTTCAAAGTGCCAGACTCATGTAAAATGGCGGTGTTGATTCTTGCCAGTGTAGTCAACGTACACATCAAAAAATATTAGAGTGGGTGAGGCGCCTGGGTGGCTCAGTCAGTTAAGTGTCCGTCCGACTTCAGCTCAGGTCATGATCACGCAGTTCATGAGTTCAAGCCCCACATTGGATTCTGTGCTGACTGTGCAGAGCCTGGAGCCTGCTTCGAATTCTGTGTCTCCCTCTCTCTCTGTCCCTGCCTGGTCCGTGCTCTCTCTCCCTCTCTCTCTCAAAAATAAATAAACGTTAAAAAATACATATATCAGAGTGGGGAAAGTCAGTTATAATCTAGAGGTAGGAATCTCACACTTAAAAACAGAGAAATAAGGGCTACAAGGCACTATTCTAAGGTAGGATCATCATTAAGATTTCCTAGGAAGAGGGAGGTGTTGATAGTTAATCTGGGCCAAGGCAGTAGCTATGAAAGGAAATGAAAACCCAGGGGCCTACCCATTAAACCACTGGGCAGGCTCCTTCTCACATTCCCATTTCAGCCCACTGCTATTCAGTTCCCCTCCGCCTCCCAACCCATTCTAATTCAGCAGGGCTAGAGTGTGCATTCTGACAAAACTCCTCAGGTTCTTCAACAGAATTCTCCCCCTGGAGCTCCTCACTTCTACTGGTGTATATACCAGTCTACACAGATATCTAAAAATCTCTATGTATTGCTGCAATTCAGTTGTCCTTATTGTTTTCATCTGATGATTACCAGTAAACACTTTCATTATCACATTTTCCCATACACTCCAACCTTAATTTAGTACAACAAATGTTTGCTTACCTCAGTGATATTTGGGTAGCAATTCGAGTTAATCTTGGCTGACTTCCTAAGTCATTTTCCCGTCCACTTAGTGCATCCACTAAGAAAATGCGCCGAGTCAGAAGCCACTTGCCGGGGCTACTGTCTTTTATCATAAAAAGAAAAGAAAAAGATGGCATTAAAAAATACCTTGGTTCTCAGGGGCGCCTGGGTGGCGCAGTCGGTTAAGCATCCGACTTCAGCCAGGTCACGATCTTGCGGTCCGGGAGTTCGAGCCCCGCGTCAGGCTCTGGGCTCATGGCTCGGAGCCTGGAGCCTGTTTCCGATTCTGTGTCTCCCTCTCTCTCTGCCCCTCCCCCGTTCGTGCTCTGTCTCTCTCTGTCCCAAAAATAAATAAACGTTGAAAAAAAAAAAATTAAAAAAAAAAAATACCTTGGTTCTCAAGGAGAAGTTACAGAATAAATTTAAAACACAGAATTATACATTGTGTTTTAGATAAAATGATTGCACAAACAGCTATTGCTGCAAGAAATTCTTGGTAATAGCTTTCCTGACCTCACTTGAATGTCTTCTGATTGTTTGGACTTTCATCAGTTTGGAAGGATTTTCCCTGCAAATTACCTGAATAAGAATTTTATAATATGAGGACAAAATAAATGAACTTGTCTGAAAAGCAGCTTGAGAACAGCTTGAAGAAGCCCCAATTTATAGTTCTACTACTTTTTCTCAATTTACATGTTAGCAATAATATTTAATTTCTTAACAGTAAGCCTCATATGTTTGGCAGAAATTTCTAAATATATCAGCAGTCTTATTGTTTTACTTCTTGGCAGACTATCTAAAACCATATAATAAGAGAAAACCCATGACCTTTTTTATAACCCATGGTTTATTAAATTATCATGAAGGTTGACTTATTGGTTTTCAGCTCAGAGAGAGAATGGTATATATGGATATCTTACCTCGGTTTACAAATATTTTATTGTGCTGAAGATTTAGGTTTAACACAGGCACAGCCCAAACATACTGGTGTTGATTTTCATCAGTATATTCAAGGTACACATCATAAAATATAGGAGAGGGAAAGTCGGTTAAGATCTTAGAAATAGGAATCTCACACTGGAAAATAAAAAATAAAAGCAATGAAAATTAGAAAGCATATTTAATCTTTCAAAGTGTTTTTTGGGGGCGCCTGGGTGGCTCAGTCGGTTGAGTGTCCAACTTCGGCTCAGGTCATGGTCTCACGGTTCATGGGTTTGAGCCCCGCGTCAAGCTCCGTGCTGACAGCTCAGAGCCTGGAGGCTGCTTCGTATTCTGTGTCTCCCTCTCTCTGCCCCTCACTACTCATACTCTTTCAAAAATAAAAATAAACGTAAAAGTGTTTTTTAAGCTTTTAAAATATCTTTAAACTATCTTTTTAATATGCATTCCCATGAACCTTCCAAAACATGAATACTTCAATATGATTCTTCTTAAGGATCAAAAGAACTAAAAGTAAAGAACTGCTTGGTTCTTATTCTACAACACAGCTGGAGAAGGTATGCCTTTGTTCTCAACAGTAAGTGTACATCAGTGAAAAAGTTTAAAAACTACTGTCCTATAGAATGAGGTCTTAATTCTTTCTCCTGATGTACAGTGTAGTCTAAGATTTGGCTTCCCTTAACAGAACCAGGCTTATCTCCCACTGCTCCCTACCAGTCTATGGTCCATTCATACCAACCTAATGCAGTTCCTAAATATGCTATGCTATTCTATGTCTCTCTGACATCACAAATGTTGCTGCCTGATATTCCCTTCCCCACTGTGTTTCCTGGCAAACTCATATTCATTCTACAAGACTAAATATCACTCATTCTGAGAAGCCTTCCAGTACCTCCCCAGGAACTGCTGATGACTCCTCTTTTGTGTCAATATGGTACTTTGTACACACTGCATTCTACATTCTTTGCGATTCTTTGTCTATACAGTATTTTCTCTATTAGGCTGTGAGCTACTTCAGAGGCAGCCCGGTTCAATGGAAAAAACATGGTTTTTAAGTTTAACAGAACACCAGTTCCGCAATTTACCTGCTACAAGACCTTAAGTCAATTACTTAATCTCACTGAGCACCATTTCCTCATCTATGAATGATATGTATAATAATGATACGTATCTCACATAGTTATTTCATGGATCAAATGAGATCACAATGACAAAATGCTGAGCATCCAGCAGCAGGCATTTAACTAGTGTTGATTCTCCTGGTTCATAGTAGACACATAATAACATTCCTTTTTTTTTGATAACATAAGTCATTTATAATAAAAGTAAATTCACGTTCATGATAGAGGTTTGGAAACTATTACTATTTTGTTTATTTTTGAGAGAGAGAGAGACAGACAGACAGAGCATGAGCAGGGGAAGAACAGAGACAGAGGGAGACACAGAATCCAAAGCAGGCTCCAGGCTCTGAGCTGTCAGCACAGAGCCTGACACGGGGCTTGAACTCACGAACCGTGAGATCATGGCCTGAGTCAAAGTCAGATGCTTAATCGACTGAGCCACCCAGGTGCCCCTGAGGTTTGGAAAATAATAAAGTAAATAAATAAATAAATCACCTGCAATCCCACCATCCAGAGATAACCACTATTAAAAATGTTTATTGTCTTCCAATCTGTTTTCCATGATAGTTTTCATTGTAGTTTTGACAAAAGTGGAATCACAGTTTTGTTCTATGGTGTATGTATATGCATTTTATCAAGAAGTATTTCTGTAGACAAGTGAATGTCTGTCTTTCAGAAGTTTAATGGCTCATAACATTCCTTTATACCATACTGTAAATACTGTAATTTCAAAATGGGTTACCAAAGGAAGGAACTGTCAGGGAGGGTAGAAGGGAGAAAAGTATGGAAGGAAAGAAAGAGGCATTTTGATTTATTAACTGGGGGGTAGAGAGAGGAGGGAGTAACATTTTTATTAGTCACTAAATATAATATTTTCACTTTATTTTAAAATGCTCAGAAGAAAATATCATTTTATATGCCTAAAAGTAAATAAATAATAATTATGAAAATCTAATATATGATTTTAAATGCTATAGATGACAAGGTAAGACTTTCCACACCCAAATAATAAAAAACTATATCAGTCAGTGAAATTATTCACTACTATTGAAAACATTTTGAAATTCAAAGATCATCCCAATATTGCTGATGTGAAATCAAGTTAAAATATAGACTAGTCCAAACTTACATTTTGGTGATAGGTTGTTCCAAAAGAATAAGCAGCATTCAGTCTTGTCTCTGTGTCTGGACAAAGCTAGAGCAAAACAATACAAATGCTAAATATCTCAGAATAATGTTTTATTTGCTTATAGTCAAGAATTCTTAAACCCCTATACAACATGTTTTATGTAATACTTCTTAAAGTAGTTTTAAGAAATTCCCATTTAAAACACAATAAAAAAATCAACGTAGCCATGCAAGTTAATCTAGTAAACATCTAGTCTTTTCCTTATCTTTGCTGAGGCAAAAATAAGGCACATTAGGTAGGAATTCTTTAGCTAGAAGTATGCTCACCTGTAAAACACCTCCTTCTAATGTCTGCCACTTGAGAAAATTCCCTCTTACATCATAGGAAGCAGCAATAAACTTCAGTTTTCTATTCTGATTAAATAAAAACAAGAATAAAATGTTACATACTCTAGAAGCAATGCAGTATTCTATTGAGAAACGTTCATTACTGACTGATCCTTTCTTTTTCCAGAGATCAAATATCAAATTCAACTGTCTTTACTTTGAAGCAAAATTAATCTAAGTATCTTTATAATTAAATGCACCTAAAATAAATGAACTGGTTTTTTTTGCATTAAAACTATTATCCCAGAATTGAGAGGCAATGCCAGTGACAAGTAACTTCCTTCAAAACTGTTAAGTATGTGTGTGTGTGTTTGTGTACAAGAGTGGGGGGTGAGCAGGCACAAGAATATTCCATCATTCTAGAAGGTTAAAAAGCTGAAGGTAAAAATTTTGACCTTAGCACAAAAATTTATGCTAAGGAAATGGCATAGATTCCAGTCAGTCTTTGGAAGCAGTTCTTAAAAATGTAGAGACAGAGAAGGACAGAGTTTGTTTGGCATTTGGTGATGAAAACTACTTTCCCAGTCCTACACGTACTACTTACTGCCACAACCACATAATCCAGAGGTATCCATACACTCAGTAAGGCTGCTAAACTCTATATTGTTTAATTTCTATGAACAGCTGATATTTTGGTTTAGTTTAGTAATTAAATTTTTAGAAAAAAACCTAAGGAAGCAAGAATTATGACTAATTATAAATTTTAAATTATAAATCAAAATACAGTTGTTCTCTAATAATCTAATAACTTATACCTGGTTTTCCCCTTTAAAACTGAAATTTGTAGGAAGAGGTATGGTACTGAGTACTTGAGGTGCTAATCCTAGCTGGTCTCCATAGAAGAGCCATGGAAGATTCCGTCTCCTACAAATAATTACAATTGTTTTAGTAACACGGTACCAATATATCTTATTACTAATATTTGTGAAAGTAACTGCATTGAATTTGGTCAAAATGACAGTTCATCAATCAGGGTATCTTTACCAAAATGAAATAGAATGAACAGTGCGCAGTCCAGTATTTTCAAAGATAAACTGAAACAGTCGGCATGCATCAAAAGTGACAGAGTCATAAGAATTCATGTTCATCACACACATATTTCCGAGAGCTTGGCAAGATGTTAGATTGGCATACACCTACGAGAGAACCATGTAAAGGTAACCAGGCAAAGAAATGTAACATGGACTTTAATACTTTAAGCAAAAGCTGATATAAAAATTATGTTTGTACCTAGTCTACAAATTCTTTTTGGCGGTATTCTTTTGCTCTTTAATATCCTTCCTCTATTTTAAGTAGAAAAGAACTTTCCACTTGAATAATGTGTACATTTTAATTGTAAATTACAGGTGAACATATGAAGATGAGCAGTTGAAAAAAGAACTAACTAAAAACATAGCAGGACATTTAAAAAATTATGAGGTAAAATAATTATATTTGAAAGAATACTATTTGTTGAGTTTGCCACTCAAACTTCTCAGTTTCCCTATCAGGAAGAGGCAGCTCTATTTTTTACAGTTGATTCAAGGCAAACATTTCAGTGATCTTCTTTCTCTCCCTTCCCATACCCATACCCAGCTCATCAGTAAATCCTATTGCCTCAATCTTCACAGTGTATCTAGAAGCTGAACTTCTCTCAGACCTAGGCTACCACTCTTGTTCATGGGTCCGCCATCTCCCACTTGGGTTATTGTAATACTCTCCCGACTGGTCTCCCTGCTTCTGTCTTGCTTCAGCAAAATCTATTCTCCATGCTAGTGATCCTTTCAAAATCTGAAGTTCAGTCATTATCTTCCTTTGCACAACATCCTTCTAATCCCCCTTGCAATAAACTCTAGGTCCTTACTGTAGCCACTCCCTTCATCTCCAAATTCACCTCTCCACTTGCCCTTACTTACTTACCCTGCTCTAGCCACTCTAGCCTCCTTCCTGTTTCTTAAACATGAACACATCAGAGAACTGCTTTAGAATCTCTGTACTTGCTGTGGTCTCTACTTAGAACACTCTTTCCCTGGATATTTACACTCTCACTTCCTTCAGGACTTTGTTCAAATATCACTCACAGAGATATGTATCCCAACCACCCTGTATAAAATAGTACCCCTTCCATTCTCTATGCTCTTTATCCTGATTTATTTGTCTTATAGCACTTAGCACCACCTGCATTTACTTAGAATATAATTCCATGGGGGGATTTTTTTCCTGTCTTTTTCTGAAATACATAACCTGATTTGAGAACAGGGCCTGGCACACAGTAGGTCAATAATTAATATTTAAGAAATGACAGTATGAATCACTTTCCTCTAACACTCCATTCTAGCTGAACAAGCTTGAAGACATTCAATTTGTGTATAATGAAATGTGAAATGAAAAACATTTTCTTTGTGTATTTTCTTTCCACTAGAAATGGCTTATTTTTCTTATAGAATATGACCAAGGAGATATATCTAGAAGATATATCTTAGAAGATTTTTATTATCTGGGGAAAAAATGGTGGTAGGACAATTTTGTAAAATGAAATAAAATTATTTAAAAACAACTTAAACTTACCCAACAAGCAGCTGCTGATGACTGCAAATACTTTGCAAACCATTCTGAAGTGAAAGACATGCCCTGCTCACAAAAAGATAAGTTTTAGTTTTAAGTTCAAATGAAGATTCCTTATGTACACTGCTAAGAAAATATTAACATGCATATTTTCCAATGGGAAATGACTACTAGCACTTTCTCAATGTTATTAGAAAATAGTTTTAATGAGGATATAAGAGTTAATTATAACCAAACTCAGTTATCACAAAGAGGGACTGCATTACAAAATCATGTCACTTAGGCAAAAGATAAAAGGAAACAGTGTGTCTATAATCCAAAAAAAACTATTACACTCATTTTACTAATACAAGAAACAAAGAACAAGATGGCAAAAAAAAAAAAATAAAAGAAAAACTAGGTATTGATTTAGCATTTCACTGCCAACACATGCTGATTTAGGATTATTATACTGTATTAAATTTGCAAGTAATAAAAAAGAAACATTTATGAATGATTTCTAAGCAACAGGAAATTGGGGATATACAGCAGGTAACTGACATATAAAATCTCTAGAGTGGCGATTCTCAAATAATGATGGGCATCAGAGTCACCTGTGGAATTTCCAAAGAACAGAAAATGCCTGACTGCATTCCAAATCAATCTCCAGGAGACCAAGGCATGCATGTGCTCTGAAAGCTGCAGATATAAATCTCTGGCTAAGAACCATTGCTTTAGAGCTTATCTGCACATCTTGCTAAAAAATGACACACTAAGAAACACCATTCAGAGGCATGGACAGAGAGGAGATAAAACCAAATTATATGGAACATGGCATCATAGCTATCAAAAAAATCTGAAGTAAAATTCTAAGTCACTATTTTCATCTCGTCAAGTAGCAATTCTCCCTTTTAAAGAAAAACATCACCTCTGCATACAGGATTGAAGAACACATTAAAAAAAAAAAAACAACTAGTAAAAATGGAAAGCAAAGACAACAGTGTTTTGAAATTCATGTAAAATAAACCCACAGACAATTCCAGTGACAATGTTAAACCTACATGATCCTTTCATAAAATACTATCCACACATTTTAACCCAGGAATTTAGAAACACTTGGGACATTTATCATAAGGAAATAATCTCTCTAAAAGGAAAAACATATCTGTGCATAAAATGATTGATAGCAATATTATTAATAACAGAAAACCTAAATATTCAAAGGGGAGTGTTAGGTAATGAGAGTGTTAGGTAACTATTAAAAATTATATTGGTTGAGCCTGGAACATGGTATAGAGAAACCAAGAAGGTGCAAAAAGACTGATGGAGACACGTCAAAATAACATAGGAACTGTCTTAAAGTGAAGCCCGAAGACAATTTTAACTTTGGAAAAAAAAAAAAAAAACAGTAAAAAATTATAGCACATTGAATAAAGATTTCATGAGTTCAAAGTGAAAGAAAAAGTATAGAGAGAAAGGAAAGCACTCTTTACAGAAGACTGCTAGCTACTAAATGTAAAGGAAATAATAGAATTGTGAAATTATCTTGAAATGACCGATTTAAAACTTGATTCAGGCAAGGTTGGTTCATCAGTGGCCACTAAAATGGATATTTACAAAGTCGCAAAGTAAAATCTCCGACTGACTTATTAATCACAGTACCTTTACAATGAAGAGAAGTGGCAGATCCCACCGTGACCAGATAATCAAATTTAGCACATCCAGGAACTAGACAACCTAACATGTGCTCTTTGTTATGATGCAATGGATATACACAATACCTACATCATATTCTTGTGAAAAGATGTTTCACTGAATCTAATCATGAGAAAACAATCAGAAAAATCCAGATTGTGGGACACTCTACAAGAGACCTGGCCTGGATTCTGCATTTCAATTCTATAAAAGTCAAAAAAGCAAAAAAACCCGCAAACCCACAAAAGCAAAATTCAGCAGGGTCTAGACTAAAGAAAACTAAAAGACTAATTACATTGTGAGATCCTTAAATGAATCCTTGGATTCTTGCCTCCTCTCTCCCTGCACCCACAAAAAGGGAGGCATAAAGGACATTATTGGAACACAGGGTAAATTTAGATATGAACAGTATATCAGATAATTTTATTATCTTAGTTTCTTTGCTGTGAAGCCAGGAAAATCCCCTTGTTCTTAGGGGCTATATAATATGATATTTAGGAGTGAAGTGTCACAAGTCTACAACTTATTTTCAAGTGACTCTGAAAAAAAATGTGTGTGTGTATGCATGCATTTTACATACATACAGAATTATAAAGCAAATGCAGCAAAACATTAGTAATTGGTTAACCTAAGTGAAAGATGTATGTATAGTCCTGGTCTTGTACTTTTTTTTAAGTTTATTTATTTTGAGAGAGAGTGCACAAGTGAGCAGGGAAGGGCAGAGAGAGGAAGACAGAGAATCCCAATCAGGCTCCATGCTGACAGCACAGAGCCCAGTGTGGGGTTTGAACCCACGAACTGTGAGAACATGACCTGAGCTGAAATCAAGAGTTGGATGCTCAAAACTGACTGGGCCACCCAGGCACATTCCTGGACTTATATTTTTAACTTTTCTGTAATTTTGAAATTTTCAAAAAAAAAGTTGAGAAAAACACAAAGCCAAGATGCTAGATCACTATTACTATCTTTGGGGACAGACAATGGGAACACACTGACCCGTATATATGGAAACTCTTTACTGATTGGCAGGTACATTCCTAGAGTAGGATTAAATGCTCTCATAAAATTATACAAAATTAATTATGTTCCAATTCTGTATTACCCAAGAGAACACCTGATTTGTAATGTTCTAAGCACACTTTTCCAATTAGGAAGCGTGTACATTATCAAGTCAATGTAAGTATTTTAGTCTAGCTGGCAATTAATATATATAAACTAATAAACATGCATTTTGCTTTATCCACCATCTAGTCTCTTATGGGTTTAATTATTTTGTACTGGTCCCCTAGGTCCTGACTGACTACAAGTGCACTGCTAAAACTGAGTTCTTATGTCAGCCAGGCTGAGGACTGGGCCAAAATAGTCATATAATCTTAACTATATTTGTTTACAGGCCTCATAACTTAAGCTACACAGAACCTGTCTCAACATTAGTTATAAAATGACTTAAAAATCAAGGTTTCCAAACTTGTCCTTAGGAAAGCATCAGTGTTCAAGATTGATAATGTTTAAATGAAATGTATTAACTGAATCAAATTAACTTTAAGAATGGAATTGATTTTCCCTGTCCATCTTTTCTTAACAGAGTCTGCAACAGATCTATTGCAAAGTGGTGTGAAGAAGGATGGGGAGATGGTATGGAAGAGAGCAGTATGGTTGGAAGACTATTACACTGAGCAAATGAGTAAACTGAAGATGAGACCCAGATTTCGCACTGCTGGAGACGGTACTTAAAATCTGTCAAAAGGAGAGTTAGAAGGAATGCTGAGGTACTGCTTTGGAATTGAAAGTATCAGTGGGAACTCATTTACTTCAATACATATACAAAATAAATAGTTACAGATGTGTGTATGTATATAGGTATCTGCCTCCTAAAAGGGCATGCTCCATGTGGTAATCTTGGTTTCTAATTATTATCTTCCAGAAATTCTAAAGAAATGGCTGATCCCAGGGCTGAGGTAGGAAAAGTACAAGATAAGCCTGGAAATCTTTTGTTCCAGAAAGGAAGGAAATGCTCAAAGAATGATGGAGATATATCAAAAAGACACAGGAAACAAACTGAAGAAGCTTCTACTAGCTAAATCTAGGACAATTTGAGGATCAAAACAAATAATGCATGTACTGGATTATAACCAACTGAATAAAACAGGAACCCACTAATCTATACCTATGTTAATAAACAAATATATAAATGAAAATAAGGAAAAATTCTTTCTTATAGTAGAATGTCAATTAATAAATGAAGAAGGAATGATGGAAATATTTGGCAACCATACTAGTAGTGGTTGATAAAGGCAAACATCACTTTATTGTTGTTTAACTTACTGTTAGGGTTGGCGAAGACAAAGTGCAATCTTGGAAATTCTCTTTACAAAATACTAACCTATTATAAAGGGAAAAATGGTACCCTTATAGTAGACATGGTGACTTTATGGCGTGTGATCAAAGTTAAAATCACCAGTAGTGGGACAAATGGACACTGTGTGCCCTCTGTTATAATACGTTGACATCTTTTTTGTGGTTTCCGGCCAAGCATGTCCTGATTATGAGGAAAAACTGGCTGGATCCAGGTTGAGGGTCATCCTATAGACTGTAAAGCCTGTAACCTTCAAAGCTGTTGAGTTCATGAAAGACAGCGAAAGACTAAGGACCTATTTCAGATCAGAGGAGACTAAAAGAGGCATGACTTCTAAATGACTGGTGATCTGACACCAAAGAGAAAAAAGAGGCGTTGTTGGTACTTTTGGCAAAATTATTTTAAAAAGGCAAAAAGAAAACAAATGGAAAAATGAAAATTAAAGGCCTGCAAGTTTGACAATGGTATACAGAAGGTCACTATAACCTGAGACTGGGAACACTCCAGAAGACACACCTCTTATTCCAAATGAGGCAATTTGGGGTGATCTCAGAGCTCCGTATTTGTACCCCAATATTAGCATTTATTTTGTTGGCTTGCAAATGCATGGTACTTGCCTATCACTCCCACAAGACCATATTGGAGAACAGGGATTTTTGCTTTATTCCTTAAGAGCCCAGATACCACCTTCATCATGGCTGTTCTCCTGTCCCTTCTAACGACTCTCATTCATCTAAGGATAATTTGAGCAACCGGGTCCTCACCTGCCTGCCACAAGCTCTGCTGCCATACTGGGTATTTTATTTTCAGTGCTCATTATTCAGTGCTATTATTATTATGTCCAATGTACAGACAGTAAAACTGAAGCTTAGAAATATCAAGTAAGTCCAAGGATATAAAACTAATGACTGGCAACCTAGGGTTCAAGTCTAGAGTCTCTGGTGCTCTTAACAAATAATGCTTCATTCCTTACAGGATCTATATAGGACCTTTCCAGCTTAAACATTCGGAGATTCACTGAAAAAGTTTGAGCTAAGGTAGAGAAGAGAGTAACTGTTTCTAATTTATTTGTGTTTTGTTTTGTTTTTTAAATTTTTTTTTCAACGTTTTTATTTATTTTTGGGACAGAGAGAGACAGAGCATGAACGGGGGAGGGGCAGAGAGAGAGGGAGACACAGAATCGGAAACAGGCTCCAGGCTCCGAGCCATCAGCCCGGAGCCGGATGCGGGGCTCGAACTCACGGACCGCGAGATCGTGACCTGGCTGAAGCAGGACTTAACCGACTGCGCCACCCAGGCGCCCCAATTTATTTGTGTTTTGAAGTGACTTACACAGAAATATTTCTCATTTTAGCCCCAGACTGATGACCAAAGGAAGTAATGCAACAAGAATGGAACAAAAAAACTGAAACATACTCACAAGTTCTCCATAACGGGCAGATGAAATTACACGTGAAGGAAAATTCACTGTGCTGCTGAAACATAATCCCCCGGTCTTCATAAATAAATAAAAATTAAAAAAAAAAACAGTTTATGGAAAGGTATAACTTAATTTTAAAATATACACTTCATTAATGTGCTTAGCCTTACTAAAATGTTCGGTTCCGAACACACACAGGACCTGTTGGTATTGACGAATGTTGGCTCACATCGAACACATCTGTCAATATAACAAAAACATTTTAAAATGTTAATGAATTATGCTAGATCTAATTTCATTAAAATCTGTCTTCTTAAATGCTGGATTAGAATAGATTCATTCAACTAAGTAATTACTTATAATAAACTAAACAAATTAAAAAAATTAACACTGATTTGATTATTTTTATACCACTCCTTGTATTACAAAGCAAGGTATAAATAAATAATATTAGCCAATAATAGGAGAATATTCTTTTGAAACTACATGGCGTGTACAGAATAAACAATATTGAATAAAAAAGATGGTTAAGTCACTCAATTAAGAGCCTAACAAACTCACATAAGTAAAACCCAATCTGTTTTCATAGGTAGTTATATCAAATCTACATTCCTTATTTTGCCTCTCACAAAGCAAAAAGGAAACATATACTGAAAAAATGTGTCTATCCCCTGATCAAAGCTGTGACAAACACTTTTAAAGTCTATTTATTATCTTTATTTATTTTAGAAAAATACTTTGTATTTTTCATTAATGTATGATATCCAGGGAGGGAGAGCATCCACCGTACTAGCGGGGACAGTGATGGGTCTGTAGTATTCATTACTCGTAAGATAGAGCAGGTAGGAGGCACTGGGGCATGGCATAGAAGTGGGCTTAAGGCGGTACTGGAGGGGAAGACCTGGGGATCAGCCCAATAGTCAATATTTGGATACTACAATCCATATCAGCATAAGGGAAGAGGTGATCCAATACTAAATACCCCCAGGAGAAGCTACTCAATTATTTTCTCTTAAACTTGGGAAAAGTCATCATGTAGCTCTCTATAAAAATGTGAAGAATTTGAAATAGGGATACTGTGTTTGAGTTAGAGAGACAGGGCTGTGTGTTTATGTGGTGCACACATATGCACGCATAAAGGGGAAACAGGAAGTGATAAAGAACAGGGCTATTAATCAGGGTTTCTGGGTCACTATAATTACCATTTATCTATTAACATGCTTTTTTACGTAATATTATTTAAAATTTTTTTTTAATGTTTATTTATTTTTGAGAGAGACAGAAACAGAATGTGAATGGGTTAGGGGCAGAGAGAGAGGGAAACACAAAATCCAAAGCAGGTTCCAGGCTCCAAGCTGTCAGCACAGAGCCTGACGCAGGGCTCAAACCCACGAACCGTGAGATTATGACCTGAGCTGAAGTCGGATGTTCAACCGACTGAGCCACCCAGGTGCCCTTATGTAACATTATTTTAAAGCACAGTTCCTGGCACACAGTAAGGATGCTGCAAATAGAAGTTAATATTTATATACTATATATATATTATAGATTATGTACAAATTTCATAATAACAAACAAAAAAAGCACCTTTTACTGAGCACTTACTCTGAAGCACTATGCTAAGAATTCACATACTGATTTCTGAGCTGTGATAACAGCCTAGGAAGTAGGTGGTATATTTCCATTCTAAGGACAAAAAGACTGACTTACTGAGCTAGCCAAGGTCAAACAACTGATAAGAGACTGAACCAAGCTTTGAACCCTAATCAGTCTCATTCTCTGATCTTCAGCTTCTTTATATGTTAACATCTACTTTTATCTTCTTTGGGCTATTATGAGGAACAAGTGATATCATAGGAAGTATTTTTAAAAGGTATAGATTCCATATAAATGTACGATGATATTTAAAGTCAGCACCCAGCACACCACTTACCTGTTTCCTAAAGCATTTGCTACTGTAAAAGAGTTTTCATTTTCGTCACAGAGCTTACAAGTTGCTTGAGACAACAATGTTCCGTTAACATCTCTTTCCACTAAACAATTTAGAAACAAAATTAAGATGTAACTCAAAGTCAACATATAACCTTCTATAAACTTAGTACAGTCCCCTTGTAATTATTATAAATAATCAGGTATATTTAAGATACCTGATTTGTATAAGAGGAATGTCAAATACCACCATAACAAAGTGTAGAAAAGTGAAGCCTTCCTCATTCCCACATAAAAAAATTACAAAAATTAACCTTCCAAATCATAATAATAAATTATTTTTTTCTTTATTTTTCTTTTTTGTTACTTCTTACCTGTACGTTCCTGCTACAGCAGGTATGCAGAAACAAGCAATTTCATAGACAGTTGACATGTTTCTACAACTTAAGAGGGTTTTTTGTAGCACCTATTAAAATGTTAAATTCACATATCCTACAACACTACAATTTCATTTTTAGATACCTAACCTACAGAAACACTTGTACATGTGTATAAGGATATTTACTGAGGTAGTTACTTGTTAGAAAACAACCTACATATTTAAAATAGCAAGATGATGGTATATTCATCCTACGAAATACTATGGAGTGGACTAAAAAGAATTACGTAATCTAACAGATCATACTGGTAACTGAAAAAAGTTCGCTCTAGAACAATATTTTTGGTATGAAACATTTATATAATGTGGTTGTAATGTTTATTTTAAAACAGAAAAGAAAAGGTTCTAGAAGGAAACACACACGCAAACGTGTATGTGCACGCACATCAAAATGTTAACAATTACTTTTGGGGCTAAGGGAATTAACAGAGAACCAGCACTGAGAAAAATGGTCAAAGGGCATTACTCCTAATCATAATGTTATCAGTAATGCTTTGTCCATAATGTTTTAAGTTTTTGCAAGATAGTAAAAATGAGTTTAACCAAAGTAAAGGTGAATGACTTGTTTCTCCTACAGTCATCCCTATCCCCGTCTCAGTAAATGGCAATGCCACTGGACCATTTACTCAGGCCCTAGTCCTTAGAGTTTCCTCATTTCTTTTCATACTGTATATTAAAAACAATAAAATTAAAGTTAACAAAATAAATCTGCAAATCTTGTTAGCTCCTCCTTTAAAATATATCCAGAAACTGAATTATTCTCTCTACCTCCGCAACTCTACCCCAGGCCAAGGGACATCAATCTATCACCTGGACTTTTATGACAGCTTCCTAACTGGAGTCCTGGTTCTATTCTCTAGGCAGAAGCTAGAGCAAGACTTTTCAAAACTAAGTGTGATGATTTCACTCCCCTGAAAACTTTCTTTTTTTTTTTAATTTTTTTTTTTTTTTCAACGTTTATTTATTTTTGGGACAGAGAGAGACAGAGCATGAACGGGGGAGGGGCAGAGAGAGAGGGAGACACAGAATCGGAAACACGCTCCAGGCTCTGAGCCATCAGCCCAGAGCCTGACGCGGGGCTCGAACTCACGGATCTGGACCGTGAGATCGTGACCTGGCTGAAGTCGGACGCTTAACCGACTGCGCCACCCAGGCGCCCCTCCCCTGAAAACTTTCTAATGGCCTTCCATCTCACTTGGGGTACTTTCTAAGGTCACTACTGCAGCCAAAAGGCCTTACATGATCTGCACACAATCACCCCAACTTTCCAGACCCATCTACTTCTGCTTTCCTCCTCATTTACTTTACCCACATTAGCATATTTGCTGCTCCTTGAAAATGCCAAATATTCTCCCATCTCAGGATCTTTGTACTTGCTATTCCCTCTGTCTAGAACGAGTCCCCTAGTGATCTACATGGCTCTGTCCCGCACTTCCTTCAAATCTTTGCTCAGATGTCACTTTTCCAAAGAGATCTTCCATGATCATCCATGTAATATAACACTTGGCGCGCTCTCTCTCTCTCGCTCTCTCTCTCTCTCTCTCTCTCCCCCCTCCCTCCCTTGTCTTCACAGCACTTACCATGCCCTGGCATATACTATTAATTTGCTTAGAACCTAAGTTGGATTCACCACTGTCTGCCAGCACCTGGCAGGTAGTGCTCAATAAACTCTTTTTTGAATTTGGGAAATTTTAATTTGGAAGGTTTCACATAAAAATTGTGTATTTTTAGCATTTTTTTAAAAATAGGAAAATCTGATTTCATGGGACCCATGTTCCTACATGATGATAACCATTTTCTGGTACTGAACAGGGTACTGCTCAGTAAAAGGTACTGCTTTTTAGCTTCACTGCCGTTCTGTTAAATCAAGTTTTATAATTTTATGTTAAATTTTAATTTTTGTGAACAAATATTTATGATGAAATAAGTATGACAACATATAAATATTTCCAAGGATGTACAGAAACATATAAATACATAAAGCATTCTTGGAAGAACACAAAAGAAACTTAATAGTGGTTACATTAGAGAACTAAGAATAAGAGTGAGGGTGGAAGGGCAAGGACCCTTGGTTTTTATATTTTTCTATACTATTTACATTTCAAACCATATACATGTATTACTTTAATTTTAAAAAGTAAAAATTTTAAGTTGAAAATATGGATATATCTTTTTATTTTTATTTTTTTTTAATTTTTTTTTCAACGTTTATTTATTTTTGGGACAGAGAGAGACAGAGCATGAACGGGGGAGGGGCAGAGAGAGAGGGAGACACAGAATCGGAAACAGGCTCCAGGCTCTGAGCCATCAGCCCAGAGCCAGACGCAGGGCTCGAACTCACGGACCGCGAGATCGTGACCTGGCTGAAGTCGGACGCTTAGCCGACTGCGCCACCCAGGCGCCCCTGGATATATCTTTTTAAGTAGTAAATCTACATGTGCTCTTATGGCACTCTCTCCAAAATACACTGCAAATAGACATTCCAAAATATTTGCAATACATTAAAAACTTGGAAAGATAGAGAAAAAATAATTACTTTAGGTTAATTTCTGGGAAATAAAATAGATGGGGAGTGTAGACTTTTATTTCTCATTCTATAGCCTCAAGAATTTTGATATTTTTAATGATAATTATTTTAAAATTATTTTTAAAAAATTATTTACCTGATTATCTGATCATTTTCTTTTTATGTCAGAAACGGGAAGAGTTGAGAGAAGCGGTGCAATAAGTAAGATGTACCCTCTTTCTGTATTCTTCCATTCCTCTCCAACCCCTCTTGCAAATCCACAGAACAAATCAACAGCAAAAGTTCAAGGTGGCTCTAAGGAGCTCATGCCATGGAGAATTTTAAGTACGTAACAGTAGTGTCTAAGATAGTGAAATACTGTTTTCACAGCTGTCACTCAACCTTAAGGGGTCTCTAGGTGTCAGAGCCACCATCTGGCCCCCCGGGCATCTAGCCTCCATTCTCAGCAACCTACTAAAACTGCCACTTCTGTACCAGTGATCTCTGTCAAAAGTTGTTTCAGAAATTCAGTCCATAATGACTTCCTCACAGCATGAATCTATGAACCATCATCACCTTCATCCCCACTTAGAAATCCCAAAGATATTTTGACTTTTCCTTTTTCCTCATCCCTATATTCCTTCACTCATCTAGGTCTACTGTCATCCTTTTAATGTTTCTGGCATCTACTCTTTTGGGTATAATTCCCTCTAGCTCTGGTTCAGGTCCAGTAGCCACATGTCTACAGCACCAGAGCAGCCTCTTCACAGCTCTCCCTACTTCTGCTCTTCCACTCCTTAAATGTGAACTTCATGAAAGCAGGGACTTCGTGCCTGTTCACTGTATCCTCTTCACTGCTTTATGCTTTGCGCCCTTGCACAATGGCCAGCGCATAGTAGGAGCTCAATAAATATTTGTTGAATGAACAAATGCAACAGATTGTTGCCAGATTAATCATCATTCTCCTGTTCAAAGCTTTGAACAAAATGCCTATGCCTACAGAACATCCTACCATTCAAGGCCTTCCGCCATCTGTACCAAAGCACCTTTAAACTCAACAAACTGTTATCCTCCCAATTCCTTTATTTTCAATCTAGATGTTTATGTTTATAATAATACTCTTGCTCACACTGCTCCTTCTGCCTAGATGTTCTCTTTCTTACCTTTTGAAGTCCCATTAATCCTTTATGGCCCCACGATTACACTGCCTCCTCATGACAACCTTCCTAAACAACCCTGGTTGAAGTGACTTCCTCTTTACAGAGCATTTATTGTTTATAAATGCTCATTTGATGATTTAATATATGTGCCCCTGTGAAAATATTTTGTTGCTATTTTGCTCTGCAAATTACTTTTCCATAGGCATATCCTGCCTTCTAGCTAGATTTTAAATAAATTGATGGCAGAGATTTGTATTTCTTTAAAAAAATAATTTGGGGGAGGGGAGGCTCAGAGGGAGAGAGAGAATCTCAAGCAGGCTCCATGCTCAGTGTGGAGCCTGATGCAGGGCTCGATCCCATGAACTGTGGGATCATGACCTGAGTAGAAACCAAGAGTCGGACACTTAACTGAGCCACCCAGGTACCCCTATAAAATTAATTTTGAATAGATAATATATAAATAGAATAAAAAAGGCACAAAAAAATTTTAAGTGAAAATTAAGTCTCTTCCATCCTTTTCCCCCCAGATACCGAATTCTCCTCCCTGGAAGCAATACTGTTATCAGTTCCTTGTAAATTCTTCCAGAAATAGGCTGTGCATAAACACATATGCATGTATAATCTTTTTTAGAAAACATAAATGGTAGTTCACCAAACACAGAAAACAGAACTGATAAATAGCAGGTACCAAATAAATATTTGTGGATGAATGAATATAAACTTTATATACCTTGTTTTTTTACTTAATGGATCTTGGATTTGTTTCCACAGCAATAAAGAACTGCATTATTTTTCTATATAATAATCTATATTTTTCTGCATTCTATACCATTGTATGGATGTACCAGAGTTTATTTGACTAATCTCCTCTTAACAAACTTTTACATTGCTTACAATATTTTGTCTTAGGATTAATGTTTCAATAAGAAGCCATGCATACACTTCTTCAGACATATATTTCCCTGCACTGGAATAGGAAATTCCCAGATAAGGGCTAGCTGGGCAATGATCTGCATTTGATAAATACTGTCAAGTTGCTTTCTACAGACGCTGCACAAATTTATAATCCTCCAGTAATATATGAATGACTATTTCCCTGTATCCTTACTTAACCAACTGAGCCACCTGGGCACCCTGAAATTCGTTTTTCTTTAGATTCATATTTAATATTTAGATATTTGACCTGAAATTTATTTTTCCTTAAGCAATAAGTTAGAAACCCGACTTAGTATTTTCCAAGTTTCCCCAACACCATTTACTAATCAGTCTTTTCTCCACTGACATGAAATACTACTTTTATCCCATATCACATTCTGATACAGATTAGATCTATTTTGATTCTCTATCTTAAGTCCCATCCATCAGTATGTGTAACCCATAGACCAGCCATTCATATTATTACAGTAGCTTTAAAATGTACATAGTATCTGATGGGGTTATTTTCTCTTTCCTTTTTCATAATTGTCTTGGCTTTTCATATTTTCCAGATAAACTTTGGAATTAGTCTCTAAAACAGACAAACAATATTCTAGTAGAATTTATTAAGGTTCTGTTAAATGTATAGACGGGTACTGTGAGAGCTAACATCTTTTTTTTTTTTTTAATGGTTTGTTTATGTATGTATTTATTTATTTTTATTGTTTTAAATATTTATTTTTGAGAGACAGAGGGAGAGAGTGTGAGTAGGAGAGGGGCAGAGAGATAGGAAGACGCAGAATCTGAAGCAGTCTCCAGGCTCTGAGCTCTCAGCAGAGCCCAACATGGGGCTCAAACTCACAAACCGTGAGATCATGACCCGAGCCCAAATCGGACGCTTAACTGACTGAGCCATCCAGGCGCCCCTAATGTCTTGTTTATTTTTGTGAGAGAGAGAGACAGAGAGAGAGAGAGAGGGAGAGAAGGAGAGAGAGAAGGAGTGGGGGACAGGCAGAGAGAAAGGGAGACAGAGAACCCAAAGCAGGCTCCGCATTGTCAGTGCAAAGCACAACATGGGGCTCAAAACCATGAACCGTGAGATCACAACCTCAGCTGAAATCAAGAGCAGGATGCTCAACCGAGCCACCCAGGGGCCCTCTAATATCTTTATAATATTTAATCTTCCCCTCCAAGAACAAGGTATGTATTCCATTTATTAAAGCCAACTTTTGTGTTCTGCAGAAGCATTCTAAGGTTCTTCAATTGATTTATCTTATATATTTCTTCTGAAGTTTATACAGGTGTTTTTTCTTTTTGTTGCTACTGTAGACAAGATCTTTTCTTCATATATTCTAAAGGATTGTTGTTTAGATAGACAAAGTCTACTAATTTTTGGATATTAATTTTTTACCCCAAAACCTTTATTGTTTATGATAATTTTTAGTAATTCTCTTGGGTTTTCTAAACATATAATTAAATCATTAAAAATTAGTTTTTATTTTTTTTTTTTATTTTTTATTTTTTAAAATTTTCTTTTTTCAACGTTTATTTATTTTTGGGACAGAGAGAGACAGAGCATGAACGGGGGAGGGGCAGAGAGAGAGGGAGACACAGAATTGGAAACAGGCTCCAGGCTCTGAGCCATCAGCCCAGAGCCTGACGCGGGGCTCGAACTCACGGACCGCGAGATCGTGACCTGGCTGAAGTCGGACGCTTAACCGACTGCGCCACCCAGGCGCCCCTAAAAATTAGTTTTTAATGATTTTTACTTCCTTTTTAATTACTCTACCACCTGTTTCTTTCACTTACCTAAGTGCATCTTTATCTGTTTCCTGACAATAGAAATGCTTATACTTTCTCCCTATTAGGCACCATGTTGACTTTTGAGTTGAAACATATATACTTTATCATATTAAGGAAGTATCCATCTTACCATCTAATTGTACATTGTTAAGACTTTTTTTTTTTAAATCAGGTAGGACTTTTTATTCTCTTCTCAATGCCTGCTGTTGACTTAAACATCATTAAATTCTGGGCAATAAAAAATACTGTTCACCAAGGTATTTCCATTAATGTCCTTATCAAAAATAACATAAGTGGGGGTGCCTGGGTGGCTTAGCCAAAGTGTCCAATTCTTGATTTCGGCTCAGGTCACAATCTTGCAGTTTTTGAGATCAAGCCCTGCATCAGCCTTTGCACTGAGTGTGGAGCCTCCTTGAGGTTCTCTTCCTCTCTCTCTCTCTGCCCCACCCCTGCTCGCATTCTCTCTCTCAAAATAAATAAATATATATTTGTTAAGTAGCGAAAGTGAAGATTCTACTACTTTTTCATAAAGAATCTACTTCTTACCTAAAACATGGCCAGTAGGACAGTGGCATTTTCCTTCTGCAGTTAAACCACCAGGGCAAGAAATGCAATTCCAGCCATCTTCAGTAACACCTTTCTAAATTAAAATAAATCAATAAGTAAATTCTCCTTCTTAATTGATGCTGTGAATTCAAGAAGCCACAGTAGTGTACAATTTGTAGTCAAGATTCAAATAAATCATGCATGTATGAGCTACATAAATATTTCTTGGAGAGTTAAACTGTGCTCACTTTCCGAAATTAAGCTATACATTATTACTATGTACAGACTACTGTTAACTCTGGGCAACCGTTGTTTCTTCTTCATGATTTTCAGTTCAAATGAGTCATTTCTTTCAAAGTAATATTGCCATTCAGTTTTTCCATTTACAAAGAAAAAACAACAAAATTCAACAGCATTTAATCAACAGACAGTCAATTAATAGTTTGGTTTTTACCTGTTCTAAAATATTCTAATTTTTACTTATTTAAAAAAAAATTTAATGTTTATTATTTTTTAGAGAGAGAGACAAATTATGAGCAGGGGAGAGGCAGAGAGAGGGAGACATAGAATCTGAAGCAGGCTCCAGGCTCCAAGCTATCCACACAGAGCCCGATGTGGGGCTCAAACTCATGAACTACGAGATCATGACCAGAGCCAAAGTCAGATGCTCAACTGACGGAGCCAACCAGGCGCCCCTCTAATTTTTATAATCCAAATATATTAGCTTTTAAAAATTAAGTTATGATTTAAAATGGGTGAATTTTATAGTGTATGAATAATATGTAAATAAAGTTGTTAAAGTTATAAGGATATTTGTTTCAATCCAGAATTGTTTGTATTAATGAAAGTTTTGTTTTTCTTTTTAAGTTTATTTATTTATTTTGAGTGGTGGAGGGGCAGTGAGAGAGGAAGACAGAGAATTCCATGCAGGCTCCGCACTGTCAGCACAGAGCTGATGCAGGGCCTGAACCCATGAACCATGAAATCATGAAATCCGAGCTGAAATCAAGAGCCAGATGCTTAACTGATTGAGCCACCCAAGTGCCTCAATGAAGGTTTTTTATAAAATATGACATTCAAAATTAGGCATATTATATTATATGATTTTTCCTAAACCTGGGGCAAAAATATAATATCAAAAACATGAATGTAACCAAAATGAATAGAGAACAAATGGTAATAACAAAACAATGCCACAAATTATTTTTAATTTTAGTTGAAAAGACTGGATTTATCATGAAATGCTCCTATATTTGTCAGCACATTATATAGGGCTATTTAAAAATTATGATTGTTGGGGTGCCTGGGTGGCTCAGTCGGTTAAGCGTCCAACTCTTGATTTTGGCCCAGGTCATGACCTCAGGGTTCATTAGATCGATTCTGCAGTGTGCTCTGCCCTGACAGTACCAGTCTGTTTGGGATTCTTTCTCTCCTTCTATCTCTCTCTCTCTCTCTCTCTCTCGCTCTCGCTCTCTGCCCCTCCCCCACTCGTGTGCACACATGTGCGCACATGCTCTCCCTCTCTCAATATAAATAAATAAACATTGGAAAAATAAAAATTATGCTTGTTTAGTAATCTCACTGAAAAATAAATTTGCTTTGTAGCCATTTCATATTAGCTTTTCATCATTGATAATTCATCTATGGTCAATATTTACAAAAATATAAAATATGTATTAAGGTGAAAATCAAACTTAAAAGTTAAATCAAGTTAGCCATAAATTAGGACAACTGGTAAATTAAACTAGTAACTTAATAATAATTAACTTGATAGTATTTTAGACCATTAAATTCCCAGATTCAATTATTTTATTCAGATAATGAGAAGAAACATCGCTATAAAAGAACTGGCTCACAAAGACTTCCAATTATCCAAAATGACTGGAAAATGTATTTCTGTTAATTAAGAATCATTACATATAGTAACCATTAATTTACTAATTTTCCTAAAATTATGATATGACTAACAAAACAGCAATAGATATTATTTAACCTCTTTAGTGATGCAATTGGCATTTCATGAACTTATCACACCTCAGTTATCATTATAAACATGAATTGTTATATAAGACTGTTAACACAATAGGTGTAAGGCACAGAACTCAATCTGTACCAGTCAAAAAACTCACACATCCCAACTTGTTCTCTATATATACCATTCATCTATTTTTTTTAAGTCACTGAGTTACTCTATGAGAAAATATAAAGACACAAATATTCACAGCTTTGTGGTTTTTTAAATCTCAGACTTTAAAAACTAAGGCAATACATTTGTTTTTTTCCAAGTCTGCATAAAATTTCACTCATTTCCCAAAATTTACTCGAGAAAAACAAAGTTAATTTAATAATTTTGAGTTTTGGGACCATATTATAGTACAGCATTAAAATGTAGTTTCAAAAAATAAAGATATGTTAATTTACTACTTTTTACAGTAAAATGATTTTAAAATAAATACTTGATACCATGTTTTCCGGGCACTTTTTACAAATAATATCAGGTCCTCCATTATTAGAGATCATCTGAAATCCTGGTAAACACACACATGAAGTTCCTAAAATAAAAACAGTCAATTTTGACCTTGGTAAATAAAAATAAAGCTCCAAGATAGGGAAAATTTTAATATTCTTAAAATCTTGAGAAGAAGTATAGCTGTTAATAGCAAGACTCTGGAATCAGCACTGCATGGGTTCTAATCTTAATTCTGCTATTCAGCTGTGTGACCTTTAGCAAGTTACTAAACTCTATGGCTTGGTCTCCACTTTGGCAAAATGGGGGCAATAACAGTACTTACCTCATAGGGTTGATATGGGTGTTAAATTAGTTATTATACGCAAAGATCTTCGAATGTGTATGGCACGCAGTAGGTACCATACGTGCTACCACCTTAAGTGCAAGCATAACTGAACTATTAAAGTACTGAACTTTAATTTTAATAATCAAACTATGCATTAACTGCTATGGGAAATTTTACTGTTCTATTTCATCCAACCATACACATATATTCAATGAATTCAAATTTACTTTGTCAAAACAAAACCTTATTAGCAAAGTTACCTTGATTCAAATAAACCATTGTTTTCCTCTGGACAGACAGTAGGCCTTATAAGATAATCACCATTCAACTTGCTGGACAGGTAAGGACAACATTCTCTAAGGAGGCATCAAGTGGAAACAGCACCCATAGCAATCTATGTAGTAGGATGCATCCAATATCTGGGTCCGTAACTATGAAGCAACACCTTACAGTTTAAGAGCCGGTGAAATGCTTCCTCATGCATACATCCTCACCGGAGGAGCCGGCCCAGTCTTAAATGACAACTTTAATGAGGATATATCAAAGTTGAAGATGGGAGAAAGTTAACACCATGGGTGACCAAATCAAGAGTGAAAACATTTCGGACCTTAGAATATGGAAAAAGTCTTATTCTGAGCAGTTTCAGTGAGGGGAACTGGGACCAAATGACCTACGTTTGAAGGGAAAAAAAACAACAACAACAAGTTTAATACAAAGAGACTTTAAGGGCAATTAGTAATATTCAATAATAAAAGGGACGAGTCCTAAGGAAATCTATATTAAGAACACACTGTATAGTGGAAATACATGGCTTGAGACTGAGGGCAGAGAGACACCAGTTCTTCCAATCCACAATTCAGGTAACAAAGAAGATGTAACAACATCATCGAGGCTTGAATTTCCTTATCTGTAAAATGAGAAGACTGGACCTAATCATGGTTAAGGTCCCTTCTAGCTCTAGGTTTCTGGGATTTGAAGAGCAAGATAAAGAGATAACAAAATTTATAAGCGCTAATTTGCATTCCCTCCGCAACCCATCCTGTGACCTACTTCTCTACACCTCGTTCCTTCTCTATTTTTTTTCTATCTTCGGTGGGCGACTTTCCAGGTGCCTCCCGAAAGACCCCTCGGATGAGAAGTGAGGGACTGGCGCCGAGAAATTAATTATCGGCCATGGCTCAGGGGGTAGTTTACTCGGGTTCCCCAACCTCATTTGTGTGCAAGCTGCAATCCTCCAAGGAAACCCACCCCTCAGGAGTTGGCAGTTAACTTTCCTGAAACATTTCTTCCCGCCGACGAAAATGTGTTTCAGAGACAGGGGGAGGGGGCAGCGGGCAACAAGAAGCGTGGAGGGTTAAAACTCTGGCTAGGGCCCACCCTGAACGGTCTCACCTCGGGCATCCTGCCTCTGGTTGGCTCCACACGGCACACAGGACAGCGCGGAGATATCGAAGTACTGGTTGTGGCCGCACGACTCCGGCTGCAGGAATGGAAATGAGAAGGTCTGGGCGTGTGAGACTCGCTGGAGGGCCAAGAGGAGGAATACGTTCACAGCCGCGGCGAAGGTGGACCAAGCCGCCATGGCTACCCTGGCCCCACCGCCGCTCGTCACCATGGTGCAGACGCCGGCGGCAGCGCAGTCTCCGCGCCCCATCAGCCGCTGCGGCGAACCTGCAGAGCCGATTGGACGACTCCGCCTGGGGTTCCGGAAGTGTCTGCCGTCGCCGCCTGGTTGCTAGGTGAGCAAAGCCTCGGGAAGCTGGCTGGTCTGGGATAGGAAGGGGTAGAGATACAGTAACCCTGGAGGCTGGCAGGCCAACCCGCTCTTTAAAATGTGTTTCAGACTCTGGGACGCGACCCGTTACCGGGCTTGTTATCAGTTTAGGAGGTCGGTAAATAGAATTTCACAGCAAAGACTATATGCGATAGTATGACAGAATTATATTGTTTCATTAAGCTGTTGAATGATGTTTACATCAGAATTCATCCAAATCAGGCCATTTTCGCGTTAAAGGAGACATTCCAACAGAGTATTTGCAAAATACATTTGTCAAAAAAGTAGAAAAAATCCACTGATTTGAAATATGCAATGCTGGAAGATTGGCTTAAGCACTAAAAAAAGATCTTTCCTGCCAGACTTTTTCTTTGTGTTTCTACTTTATTTGTTTCGGGTAAAGGAAATCATGTATATAAAATTAGATCATCTTTGCTCATTTGTGAATAAAGAAGGAAACTAATTTTTAACCAAATTTAAACATACACGAATCCTGCCTTTCAAAGCAGGCATCCTTGAAGGCTATTAGCACCAAAACATTTTAGAATTACCTTTAGAGCCACTTTACAGATCATAAAATTTTATTTCTCAATATTTAAATCTCACTTGTTTCTGTTGTATTTTATTTTATTTTATTTTATTTTGTTCCCACACTCCAATAAAATCACCTGGCATAATTTTCAGCCACCTTATCAATCAGTAGTAGCTAGAAACAACTTTTGGCTCTCTCAAAAAAAAGATAGATAACTTTAACCAGTATCCACCATCAGTCCTAGTATTTTTCATGTGGCCTTCCCCAAAAGACCAGCATTCACTCAGTCACTAATATCTATGATACAGGACACAGTAATATGTTCTGAAAGCTCTCTCTTAAAAAGGAATCTCAAAAATGTTTTTGAGTAATTATGCATTGCTGGGGTGTTTAACTGGTAGTGGAAATCACTTATCTGATTAAGATTTTTTTTAAAAGACATGTGACTATACAAATGTCAATGACTCAGAAAGGGTATGGTCAGAATAGTTGAGATTAATCTGCAAAAGCTTCGTATGGGTGAATTTTAATTCTAATCTTCCTTGATGAAGTGCATACTGTTATATGCTCTGTGGAGGGGATTGGGGCAATAACATTTACTCATTGCCTTCTATGTAATTAAGACAACAAAAGAGCTCCCATTCTTGGTTTTTCTTGTGTTCCACACTGTGTACTATACTAGGCTCTTGACAGCATTAATCTGAACTCTTTATAATAACCCTCTGAGGTAATACTATCCCTTTCTGTATCCCTTTCTGAAGATCAAGAAAGTAACATTTTAGAAAGTGGTGGAACTAGAATTTATTTTCATCTGGCCAACTCCACAACCTGTTACCTTTCCAGTTTACTAAGTGGCTTCTTCGTGGAATAGAGGAAAAATTTGGCATATTCTATATATAGGATGAAACGATTGCCTTTAGTTAACAAGATGGTACCTCCATTGTACACCACAGACAGGGGAACGATGATTGCCTAAGACTTTTGGGCACTGTACCTGACAAAACTGCTCCAAAAAGCTAAATAAAGTAGTGAAATGATTCAAAATAGAAACAGGTTTGACATAACTGTAGATACTATGGGTTCATCTGTATAAACTGCTTACAAGGATAGCGGAAAAAATGTTAGCTAAAACTGTTAAGTATAAATTGGGAGTGTATCATTAGGGACATTTCTGCTGCAAATAATAGATCAAGTAGTTTAAGCCAGTTCCCAATGGCTTAAACAAAAACAAACAGGAGAAGTCTGGACATAGGTGGTCACTGGTGTTCATTCAATGATGTCAGATAGTCACCTCTGCAGTTTTCTTGGCTTTTCCCTCTTAGTTGCAGGGTGCTTGCCCTATACCAGATTTAAGACAGGAAGAAGAAAATAAGCTGAACCAGAGATATTTCCACTGTCTCTTAAAAGAAAAAAAAAAGTAAATGCTTTCTCTATGTCATGTCTTATGCTAAACTTCTTACCTGCTCATTTCAATATTAACAGCCCTATAAATAGACAGTGCATTTATCAGCTTAAAGACATCCCAGTATCACCCAGCTAAAATGTGGAAGAATTATCCATAGAAGTGGACGAGACTAGCAGAACATGGTTTAATGTCAGCTTATGAAGAAGTCTACCAAAAAACATGAGAGGATGGCTTCAAAGAGGACAGCAAATGCTTATTGAACACCTAGAATGAGATGGGTACTGTACCATGCCTCACCTACAATAACAAAATTAGGGCTATGGAAGAAGGGAGAGGCAGGGAAGGATGAATGAAAGAGCTGTTTAGGAGGAAGAATCGTGAGAATGTTATGACTTGGACAGTGGAAGTAAAGAAGCAAAAACAAGGATCACTCCCGGTTTCTGATTTGGGTAGCTAGGTGGATTGTGACATTATAGGAAAACAGGAAATATCTGGGGACAGATAAAAGCTTCTTTCTGAATAAAAAAAATTAATGGTAAAAATTAAAGTTATAGAATTATCCATTCATGGGGAGTTGGGACCATGGATAATTTAAATAACTGATATTAATATTTTGTTTTCAGTGTGTCAGTCACTGCAATATCTCATTTGACAAAATTGGGACCATTATAATCACTTTACTTTACAGATGAGAAAACCAAGACTTAGAAAGCATATATGACTTCCTAAGGTCATACTCAGATCATGATTCTAACTCTGGTAATTTGATACCAGAGCCCACATTCTTTCTTTAAAAAAAAAAAATTAATGTTTAAGAGAGAAACAGAGTGCGAGCAGGGGGATGGGCAGAGAGGGAGGGAGACACAGAGTCCAAAGCAGGCTCCAGGCTCCCAACTGTCATCACAGAGCCTGACACAGGGCTCGAACCCACAAGATCATGACCTAAGCCAAAGTTGGATGCTTAACTGACTGAGCTACCCAGGCACCCCTGGAGCACCCCTGGAGCTCAACTTCCTTTATCTAACTAAATATGGATAGTCCCTGAGGGCTCAGTCCTAGACTTTTGTCTCTTCTCATACTTTAGTTTCCCTCTGGATGTCAACCATGTCCTTGACTTCACTGACCACTTTTTGCAGATGACTCACATATTTATATATATCCAGGCCAAATTTCTTTTTCTGAGCTCTGAACCAGTATTTCCACTGCTTGCTTGGAAGTTCCATTTGGGTGGAATGAAGCATCTTTAATTCAAGGTGTCCCGAAACAACCCATGATCTCCATCCCTTCCTCCACCCCCAACCTTGTCTTCTTCCAGTGTCTTCTATCTCAGTTAATGGTAACATCATCCCACCTGTAATACAGACCAAAACTCTAGGAGTCACTTTTGATGCTTTCCATTCTTTCATCCTCCCATTTCAGTCTAGCTAGACTTCTTAATTTTTTTAACTTTATTTATTTTGAGAGAGAGCAAGGGAGTGAAAGAGAGCAAGGGAGGGAGTGAGAGAGAGCGAGGGAGGGGCAGAAAGTGAGGGAGAGAGAGAATCCCGAGAAGGCTCCATGCTGCCAGTGCAGAGTTCAATGAGGGGCACTATCCCACAAACCACGAGATCATGACCTGAGCCAAAATCAAGAGTTAGATGCTTAACTGACTGAGCCACCCAGGCACCCTAGACCTCTTGATTTTTTACCTTCTAAATATATCTTGAATTAATCACCCAAATATCCCTTGAATTCTTTTACTTTTCTTAACCTCTATCATCCTAAAATGTCTTCTCTCATATGAATTACTGCAATGACCTACTTTAAACCTTAATTTTCAGTTTTAGGAATTATCAGTTATTCTATTTTATTTTTTTATTGAGGTATAATTGACATATAATTTTTATATTGGTTTCAGGTTTACACCATGATTCAATATTTGTATATATTGATAAATGATCACCACAGTAAGTCTAGTTAACATCTATCACCATATATAGTTACAAATTTTTTTCTTGTAATGAGAACTTTTAAGATCTACTCTTAGCAACTTTCAAATATGCAATGAAGTATTATTAACTATAGTTGCTATGCTGTATATTACATCCCCATGACTTATTTATTTTACAGCTGGAAGTTTATACCTCTGGGCCCTCTTCACCCATTTCACCTACTCTCTACCCTCACTTCTGACAACTACCAGTCTGTTCTCTTGTATCTATGAGTTTGGGGATTTTTTGTTATTTTTTAAAATAGATTCCTCATGTAAATGAGATCATAAGGTATTTGTCTTTCTCTGTCAGACTTATTTCACTTAGTGTAATGCCTCAAGGTCCACCCATGTTGCAAATGGCAAGGTCGCATTCTTTTTTTAAATTTTTTTTTAACATTTATTTATTTTTGAGAGACAGAGAGAGGCAGAACACAAGTGGGGGAGGGGCAGAGAGAGAATGAGACACAGAATCCGAAACAGGCTCCAGGCTCTGAGCTGTCAGCCCAAAGCACGACACGGGGCTCAAACTCACAAACCGCAAGATCATTACCTGAGCCGAAGTCAGACGCTTAACCGACTGAGCCACTCAGGTGCCCATGGTCGTATTCTTTTTTATGACTGAATAACATTCCTACATATATGTGTATAATCACATTTTTTCCCTTCTTTCTTTTTCTTTCTCTTTCTTTCCTTCTTCCTTCCTTTCTTCTTTCTTTCATTTGTTGTTTCCATTGTTTCCATATCTTGGTTATTGAAAATAATGTTACAATGAATGTGAGGGTGCATATATCTTTTTGAGTTAGGGTTTCATTTTCTTCAGATAGACACCCAGAAGTAGAATTGCTAGATCATATGATAGTTCTATTTTTAATTTTTAAAAGAACCTCCATAATGGTTGCACCAATTTAAATTCTCACTAACAGTGCACAAGG